GGGAAGGGGGGGCTCCCTATTCTGCGGGGGGAAAACACAGTGAGGGAGGGGCGGAGACCACGCGGAGATCGAGGCTCCTGCAGTCTCCCGCCTCTCTTGCCCTCGACCCCTTTTCCCACTACTGGAGTTCCAGCCCCTTTCTTCCCCCCTTCCCAGGAGCACTGACGGCCCCTCCCAGCCCCTTTCCTCCCCCCTACGAACCCCCTCCTTACCGGGGATCTGTTTCCCCCCTTCGCTTCCGGGGATCCGGGCCAGCGCCCCCACCAGCAACGAAAGAGGGACCCCAACAGAGCCCATGGATGCCGCCCCACAAGCGCCCCCAGAGAGAGGGGGGAGAAAGTCGCGGAGGCTCCCAGCCCCAGAGGCGGAATCGGTGGGTCTGGTTTTGGGGGAGGAAGCGGTTTCCTCGTATTTCGGAATTGGGAGGGCCCAGAAAAGCGGAAGAACCAATGGGAATTCTGCGTTCTGCATCGTCATCGGTCTCCGGGCAGGGTCTGCCTTGAGTTCATCCACAAGAGAAGAAACGGAGATTCAACTCTGAAAATGCCTCAGTTTCCCTCTTTCATTTTCGCTTTCCGTCCCCTTCTTCTTTCAGTGCAAGAAGCTTCGGGGCTCAGGCGCTAATTCGGGGTCCGCAAGGTCCCCCTCCCACCCAGCCACGGGGAGGAGGGGCGAGAGAGGGGCCCGGCTGCCTCTTATCCCACTTGGGCTGCCTTCCCGCGACCCCCGCCCCACCTCGGCCACAACCAGGGAAGGGGGGACTCCCTATTCTCCTGCGGGGGGGGAAATACAGTGAGGGAGGGGCGGAGCAGTGACGGCCCCTCCCAGCCCCTCTCCTCCCCCCTACGAGCCCCCTCCTTACCCCCCAAAGTGGCAGGAAATATGGGGGGAGGGAAGAGACCCCCTCTGGGCTGGAAGGAAAGGAATATCCGTACTTCTTTCTTCCTCTCCCTTTCGGGGGCATAAGGAGCGGGGGTCACAATAAGGATACCCACACCTATGCTCCTGGGCTCTCCCTGCCCTTCAAGCCTCGCCTTCCCTTTTCCTCTTCCCCCCCTCGCCCCCATCTTCACAACCCACAAGCTGTCTTTCGATGCTTTTCGAGGCCTCTTTCCACCGCCACCCCGCCCAAATAGACCCCCCTGCAGCCCCCCAAGACCCTCTCAAAAGAAGGGGCTCCAGCCCCCTTCGCTAAAGGGATAGTTTTGGGGAGCCAATTTAGGGGAGCAATTCAGACCCCACCCAACATCCTTCTCCCTCAGTTCCCCCCAGCAATGGGGGAATATGGAGTGGGGGGTTCTGGGTCTCCTCCCCAAATTCAGAGTTCCCCCAAGAAGGAATCCAGCTCAAC